ACCAAGTAGCTGAGCGTGGGGGTCGATCAACTACCTGTGTTTGGCATGCAGCATCGGCAAGAACCTGCGGGGTGGGAGCAGAGCAGGTGAACCTGCACCATGCTGTGTCACAAACTCCTTAGCCTGCCTAGTGCTCCTGTCCTCGCTGTGTCTGCGGGAAGCCCCGCCAGGTGGCAAGCCGGAGGAGCGCTGGGTGAAATGTATTCCAGCACCGGGCATTTCCTGTCAACAGAGGGCACGTCTCTCTTCAGACACCTTGGGTAAGGTTACTTCTATGACCTTGACGATGTAGCATTTCTTCTCACTGGGGAGAAATGGTTCCAGGGGAGCAGGGCGAGTCATGAACCTTCTGGGATCTGGCCGGTGTGGAGAGACAGGGGTGCCGAAGTCCAGGGCTGTCCTGAAGAGGTTAATTCTGTGGCATCCTCTGGGCTTATCCGGGAGGGAAAAGGCTCTAGAAGGGGCTGGAATGGTTTTTGGCGAGAGGTGTTGGGGGGGGAACAGAAGAGGCTGGCACAGTGCAGCCCTCTGTGAGCAGCTAGTGAGCGATCTCATGCATGACGGACAGGGTACCGCTACCCACTACCCAGGAGCCTGCTGTTGGGCACCCAGAGCTCGGCATGGGTCCCCACACCGTGAGATCAAAGCAGCAGGGAATGCCAAGAGTGGGCAACTTTGTTCTCAAGTTCACGCGCTGATGGACATCGCTCCAAGGCCCTGCAGTCGCTACCCGGCCAAGAAACTGAAATCGGCATTGTCAGATCATGACCAGGGGGTCCTGTGGTTTCTCTCTCCGTGACCAGTTTCCCCCGAATACTTAAAGCTTCACAAGAAGATCCTCCCCGCCCCGAATCAATGCAAGATGAACATCTGGGGACGCTGAGTCTAACTTCTGGCATGCCACAGGAATGAAAGCAAAAGAGAGAGAGCCGAGACAGTACGTGAAAAGCGGTTCAAGGCTCAGGGAGATCATCAAGCTGACTTAGAAAACTTTTGCTCTCTGTTTCAGCAAGGGCGTTCTCCGAAGAGGGTGGTCACCAAAACCAACGACTTTCACAGCAAAGACCCCGCCTCTAACTTGTGCCACCCATGTTCAGGATTCTCGCCATCGGCAAGGAAGACGAGACGGGGCATCGGTCAAGACACGGCATGTCGTGTGGCACAAACTTCCTCTGCCAGGGGCCAGCGTGAGCCTGTCTTTGCCAGGGTGCCCCCAAGCCTGGCGGGGTGTTCTTGCTCCTCCGGGTCTGGGAGAAAAGCTTTGATCCTTTCCTCCAGGCCAGAGTGGTAGCCATTAAATCAAGAGGGCTTCATTTTGCTCTGATAATGGGGACCTGGGCCCTGGTCTGTGTAGACGCTGAAAGGCGAGCCGTGCTTCTGAAGACAAATGGGCAACCGGAAGCCAAAGACTCATTCAAATTCCTAATCCTCCTCCTACACTTTGAAAATTAAAAATATCCGGTTCTCACACACAGACCTGGTCTTAAAAGAGCAACCCAAGCCTGTCAGCGTCAAATCAAAAAGGATTATTTTGACACAAAAATTGAGCCACCACGTGAAATTTAATTTGGCAAAACGTATTGAACTTGGTATGTTTTTTGAGAATATGTTTCTTTTGGCCAGGGCGGTGGCGG